TAACAAAAACTGGGAAATCGACGTTACCCGGCTTGCCTTGAACGTATCATTTGTCTCGTAAGCTCCACTTGCTTTCGTGGCCGTTGGGTGAAATGGTAGAACACTTCCACTATGCTCATGATCTTATTTCCAAGCTCTGAAGAGACGATGAGTCAAGTTCGATTTTGCAATTATCCCTCGAGGCTAACATTAGTTATTCTTCCTTCTTCTATCTTCCAGCAACAACAGCAAAGTGGTGAAGTTCAAGTGGCAATCAGTTGCATCCAATTCCACCCTCAGAGTCGTTAACCTGCACCAACTGACGCTATTCACGCAGCAATAAAGAGTACATCATTTGGGCCAAAAGGTTTGGAGTGCAAGTCCCACCCTGTCTTATCGTCATACCAACACATCGGCAGGAGTTGAACCGTTAGTCTGCGGGCCGTTGAACCGCCCGCTAAAGCAAAGCTCTTAGGAGCCTACTGAAACCAAAGACCGCAGTCGTGCCCTTAAGCGTCATCCACCACGAAGGGTCGAATCCCACTGTGGGGCTGAGGCCAGGCCACGTCGAGATCACCACTACCGTCGACAAAAAGGATTACATTTGATGCAAACTCAAGTATCCGCCCTAAGAAACCTATGAATAGGGTCGCCATTAGGCGAAATAAAGCCATATGAAACTAATGCATTCTGACCAAAATCCGATTTCTGATAACAGCATCCGAAATTGGTACCAAAATGTCTGTCTGCGAAAGCTACAAATCTGTACCAACGCATGCACGATAGAGAGCCACAAAACTCCCTCCTCGCTAGAGTGGAGGCGCATCCAGCAAACTTGTTTCTGCTATAAAATAGTACATAAATTGAAAATTTGCGGGTCTACGACTGAATATGTACTGTATAGGAAGTTTCGGTTGGGCAGTAATGCAACAAGAGAGGACCCATTGTTCCGCCATACCACCTGCGAGGCCACACGACCGTCCACGGAACATGTCGGGGTTGGAGTTGGGTGCCGACCTGTATTAGCTGTGGTCGGTCAACTAAAAATATTTCGAATTTATTTGCTCAATGTGCCATAAGAAACAGAGGGAGAGGAGGCAATAAAAACAGTTATTAAAGATACCCAGACACCGTTTTCGTTTATGTCCTGTTTTAGAGATAAATATGACCTATTATCACTATCTGGCTATTACAAGATTGTGTGCTCATATGGTCGACCTGATGTTGGTGAGACCTGCTGGCCTAATCGTCACGGGATATGGGAAGAGAAAAGAGTCTAGCGGTCAGAAGTGGCGCAACACAAGCGGGCGACTCGACACCAGATTGGATGATTTCAGACGCGTGGGTTTGCCGATTACGATAAGTCGGCTACGAAGCGCAAGATTTGCTTGCGGAATACACGGAATACGTGTAGGAAGGTGACTAAGCGAGGCTTTTATGCCACCAGCTCAAAGAAGACGACTCACCTGGCCATTTGAGTGACCAAATTCCAACCAAATTGCTATTCGTTCAAAGGGTCCATTCACCTCATCAATCCAACCAGACTAATGCATTTGCGTCCAGCGGCATCCCGAGGCCTACTCACCCGATTGCGTAGGACAACTCATCTAACCGTCCTTAAGTCACCTAATACGGTCCAGACTGTAAAAGTTCTTAGTTACGTATTGCTGGCGGTCTTGAATACTACTTACATTAAAAATAAGCAACGCCATCGATTGCAATGACAAATGGAAGCATAAAAATGTGAAGATATAAAGACCAAGATGTTGTGGTCTGTGGTATGGTCGCAGTCTTCTTTCGATTTATAGAAATGGGTTTACCTCGTGGCAACTTAGTCTTGATGTCAGTGCGACTTAATAGAACGCACCTAGTCCGAAGTCGTCTGGCATAGTAGTTGTCATGATTCTACGCATCAGACAATGGATTTGGTACATTCTCAAACGTAGATAGGCCAGGACAAAAAGAGGATTTAGTGTAACCGTTTTCAGCAGAACGTTGGTCGAAGGATTGACTTGACTTGTCTCTGACGAGTTCGTAAGTTGGTGCAGTGAATGGCAAAGCTCACTGATGATATGCCGACTAGGATGCCGGCAAAACGTTTAAGAATGTACCAAGTCGACTGTCTGATGCTGGGAATCATGACAGACGACTTCGGACTAGGTGCGTTCTACCAATTCACCCTGACAACAAGACCAAGTTGCGACAACGAGGTCAACCCATTTCAATAAAAATGTGATTTGGAAGAGGTCTGGCTTGCCTTGAATGCCACATCTGCCCTGTGACCGACTGTCACCCATGGCTGGTTGTTGCGGCGAAGTTGTATCATGTTGCCGCACTGCTCACCATCTGGTCTCGAGTCTCGAGTCTCGAGTTTTGGGCGCAGTGAGGAGGCGGCATGAAACGGTCGGGCGAGTTCGAACCCGCAGTCGAGTCCAGCCAGACTGCCGCTTCTGCATCAGCTCATGCAGGCCACGAGGAGTGTACGCCGATTGTGCAAATGGCACAAATACCGAGTTTATTGTGCCTCGTCTCGATTCGTCCTCGCCACATCGATTGTCCTCGTTACAGGACATCCAATTGCAGTCAGCAAATTAGTTTGACGTCTCGCCGAAAAGATGACTCATCCGCTTGCACTAGCCAATCAAATCTGGCCACTGCATCGAGCCTACGTGTGGACCTATCAGAACGAGCCCTTTGGGACCAATCAGAGGCTAGCACCTAAATAAGACAAGCCTTGTACTCAGCACGTCTTCGATCTCTCATCTGGCCGGCCTGCCTGCCTTTGAGCGGCCGGTTCGTTGGTTTGGCGCGTCGGAGTCGTTTGCACCAACCGCCCAACGTCCCGACGTTTGTCTCCTCTGCAGCCCGCAGCCCGCAGCCCGCAGTCGGCAACTGTCCTCCTGCTTGCCAAAGGTGCACACATCTTCAGGTTGCTCTTCCAGTTTGTGTGTCTACAAATCTCGTATGACGCTGCTTCCACCTTCCGTTGACGCAATGCTACAAATCGGTCGGAACTTTGCGTAAAGGCGAGGACCGCGCCCAGCCAGCGTCTACGTGGCAGACAAAGTCTTCCAATAGACACGACGAGTGTTCAGCCTAGTTGGTTTAAAATGATGTGGTTCGACCGGTGGCTGAATGTTCCCACAATCCGACGAGTAGCCCTTGCGCTTCCCAAAATGCAACTGGGCTAATTCAACCACGACTTGTTCATCACTTCAATGACAGCATAAATGTGATCTACTAGCAGTCTCGACAAACTACTCACAAGTAATGTAGTCGAGTGCCGTTGCAAATGCAACTTGGAGAAAATGTCTTCCAACTACCATTTCATCTGCATTTGCGTGTGCAGGACAAAAGCACAAGCAATGCGAACTTTCACCTGTCTTTGATGACTCTCTTGACTTTCATCACGAACATGTTGACAAGCGTCGGCCAGCCGTGTACACCTTCCCATCCCTACACGACTGGCACCACATTAATCGGGACAGGCGTTGCGAGGTATGACTCATTCGATCGTCAAGTCGGATCACAATAGGTGTGTAAAATGAGCCAGACGGCTGCTCACCTTCGTGGACGTCCAGAATGTTCGGTGCAAAGCCTCCTTCATCGCCAACATTGCAGGCATCGAGGCCGTAGCGCTGCTTGATCCGCTCTTTCAGGTGGTGGTACACTTCACTGCCCATGCGAAGAGCCTCGCTGAACGACTTGGCACCGACCGGCATCACCATCAACTCCTGAAAAGCCATCTTGTTGCCGGCGTGCACTCCTCCGTTGATGACGTTGAATGCCGGCGCCGGCAGCATGACGCGTTTGGTGCCGCTCAGGTTGGCCACGTGACGGTAGACCGGAATGTCCTGTCGGGCGGAAAAGAGAAGCGCTCAACTCGAGCATGACATGCAACCTGTTGAGCTGTACGGCCCTGGGCCGAGCTCTGCAAAAGCACTCGAGGCTCAACCGGCCAGAATAATCGGCCAAACTCGTCTCTCGCCCACCAGTCGACAGTCTTCGAACCCGACGAAAGCGCATTTCGATGACGTCTTAAGACGCACAGTTGTGGTTTCTTTAGCATCGTCATGGCAATTGTGCTAATCTTG